CTTGCGCCACTTGTTTGTGGCCTTACTGGGCAACTGTGTAGTACAGTAATAAAGCTAAATCCAGTGCCACTGTTTAACTGTGCAGGTGCACGGACATGCGTTGCTCTCCTTCATCCTCTGTTTCCCTTGATTGTCAGTAGCGCTCATTGAACCAGGCTCAAGAGGATTTCCACTGATTCCAAACAAAGAGCCAAATGGGATTAGCTGATCCTTAAGGGTTCCCAAACTCCTCCATTATCCCTGCCCTGTCTCCCTCCTGCATGTTGCCAAACCGCAAAAGGCTGGCTTTTTCTGAACAGCAGTTATGAAAGATTGCCACCTTATTTTTATTTCCTCCCGTTTACATTATTAGTGTTCACAGCTACACGTGTAACTGCAGACCTTTGATCACACTTTCACTTAAACCCTGTATCACGCTCTTCTGCATGTGACCATGGTTACGCTCTCCTCCGAGGGTGCAATGTGTCAATTTCCTGGTATTCTTCGTATTTCTCTCACCTGAGACCTTTTACAACGAGACCAAAAAAACATTAGCAATCACTAACAGCTTCTAAGGGGAGTGTCGACACTCGGGACTTAGCCCATCATGATCTTCTGATCAGTAATCCTGTAGGTGATGCTCTCGTACGTCTGGCTCCATGGCCCACAGCATTATGTTGAAGACCACAGTATAGTGGAAGTTGTACATATAATAAACAAACTAGTCTCTGTTGTAGGTTTTTCGTTAAAGCATCACAGCAGTGTTTAGTAAGTCCACCGTTGAAAGTATTTAATCCACCCTGTCTAAATGGCTTTCACTGAAGGACTTTTGAAAAAAATCTTAGAACAGACCATCTGTTGGAGTTTTCCGCCCTAATGCTGTGTGAGGATATAATTAATTAAATGCTCCAAACAGAAAGAAAACCACCTGGATTAATGATTAATTGCTGTTTGGTCCTTTAAAAAAAATTATATAGCTTGTGTAATGCTTAAACTACATGTTAATGAGTAGCGAGGACTGTGTTATCATGAAACTGGCTTTAAAAAAGCTTGTGTTAAGCTGTCTCTTGATCAGAAAAAATGCTGGAAATAACAGTCGGGTTATATGTTACAGTGAAAGCCATCAGGATGGCCAAATGGCACATATCAAATGGTTGAAAATTCCCTTAATGGGAGCCTGAGGTCATCCAGACTACATGTTATTCCTCCCATAGTTCATATTTTCTATCTGGATCTGCGGTGCAGTCTCAGTCTATAAATGAGCGAGTTTGAAATACTCTGTGTACTGTGAAAGAACAGCATCATTGTCCTGAGGCACAGGGCGATCCGAGCAATACCTCTGACTGGTGCTAAATTCGTGAAGTTTATCCTCAGGTACATTTTCAGAATCCAGACTAAATGACCCATTTAATGACCCGGAAACATTTAAAACAATTCTGAGTCAGTGGTTGTGACAAAGTGTGTCTGTTTCTTCCCGTCATGGCCCGTCATGTCAGGCCAGCATGGGCTTGTTTCAGGAGCAGACAGCTTTCAGCTTTCCTCATGCGTGTCAGAGCCTGACCGTAATGACAGCACTCTGTCTAACATCTCATTCACACCTGGGTGCTGGCCACTTACCTCCCGAGAGGTGTTTAAACTCTAAGTTCACTACGATGCGACATGACCCCATCAGCATTGTTTGGCTCAGTTTGACACGTAGTTCCTCTCGCGTTCCTACCTTAAACTGAAATAACCTGAACGGAAATCAGTCTTGCTCACAGTATCGCAGTATAAGCTGCCAACAGTTCTCATGCTTGTAATTTGGATGAGTTTTAGAGCTGTGTAAACACTGTGACAGCAGGGTTCTTCTAACGCTCGCTTCCTCTTAAGGCAGCACATGGGTCACCTCTTCTTCCTGTGCTGGGAAAGATGATTTTCACTCTGAGGCCCTGGAAATGACGCTTGTGCATCAAACAATGGCTGGTTTATCGTCCCAGTGATCATTACGAGTGCAGGCCATTGCCACTGAAACACTGTATCACACGGCAGCAGTATAATCCTTTTGTGCTTCTTCAATAAAGGAAAATTGTGTCATAATGCACAAGTAACCCATAATTACACAATATTTCCCATCATTCATTAATAATGTGTCGTGAAGGGCTTAAAGTAAATTCAGTTAATCCTATGGGTTTCCATGTTGTATCATCACTTGCCTGTAGGTGGCAGTGACTTCTTTCATACTCTGTTTTGTATCTTTTACCTCTGGACAGAGCTTTTCAGTATCCCCTTACAGCATTCCCACACATCTGTGTGATCACAGTTTAATTGGCTTCTTTCTGCCTCCATCTGACGCAGACATGAAGTCAATCTGAAAAATTTTTTTATCACAAATGCAGCTTTTTTTGTTGCTTTCTTGGACGTGCTTCAGTCGTTCATCATTCGTGTTTGCGTGTTACAAAAACACAAAAAAAATAAATAACTGAAGGCAGCATAAATTATGTTACTTTTTGCCAAGGGTAATTTTAAATATGCAATGTGATCGATTGTGTAAGTCCTTGATACTATAAGTAGCAAGTATTTTGTAATAGGATTGTTCCATGTTGTGTTTTCTGAAGCCAGAACACCGTTGGAAGGACTAAGAGGATGACTGCAGGCCCTGCAGGGCTTTGGCTCTGCTTCAGACCATCTCTGCTGGTGTTGCAGCAAAGGCTGTGAAAGGCACTCACTGGTTGAAGCATACATTAATGATTAACTAAACCAACTGCAGCAAGCCACACTGCAGATCCAGCAGAGCTTCATGGCACTCACGAGTGTAGATGAATGGCGTGTGTGGTTGCAGCGTATACTTATTCTGCGCCTGGTGGCTTGACTACAAAGTAAAGGAAGCGGTACCCCTCAGGAAAATGGGTCATTTTCTTCTCCTGGGATAAATAAATGATTCCCAAAATAACAAGAGGAAGGGGATGTGGCCTCTTGTATTTATTTTGCACCATTTTACGGGGGTGAGGATAACCTGGGTGTCAGCTACAGGTCAAAAGGAGACTTTGATTGAATCCAAGTAGTAGTTACATTTAAAAAAAACTAGAAGAAATACTTGCAATACTCTCCCCAGACAATGATTGAAGTCTCTCCCGTTGTCTAAAACATTTTGTAGGTTGTAGTGTAAACTTAGCATCTAAAAAAGTGAAGTAGTGAGATTCCAGGCTTATCTCTGTAGCCCACCCACATGTGTAACTGTAGGACAGTACCCATGACTCGCCTTGTAAACAAAAACCCTTGAGAAGCTGATTCTAATGTTTACATAGGATGCTTAATATTTCTTAATAGCACTCCTGGCTTCATCCTCCTTCAGTAAAATTGAACTCCTTCCATTTGTGTTGTGAAACTTTGGAGGAAGGCATTACTTTGTCAGAATTTCCACAACACTCAAGCTTTCGGGGGTTTATTGAGTGATGAAGTTTGAACGACAGCGGTGGAGCTAAAGGTGGCTTTGTTCCGACAGGGTTTACACACACACATCAGCAGGAAACAGCCACTTCCCTTTCAGAGTCCCCGAGCAGTTCCAGCTGGGAGGCACTGTGTTTTATCTGCCCTGTCGTGCTGGATTTGTGGGTGATGTCACTGTGGTCCGCTGCGTACTGACTTCGCTCTGGACAAACAAGCATACTGAAACACACATACTCCTCCCTGCAGAGCCCCACAGCACACCCTGGGTATGGAAAGGCGGCCAGCTGTGGACTTGACCTTCCAAGTCGAGAGGCTCCTCAGATGAGATGCCAGCTCCACCCGCACTCCCCTCTACTCCTCAGAGCCACGTGGAGACATTTTTTGTCTTTGTTGTGCGTGAGATAGTCCACTCCTCGGTGTGAAAGGGGAACCTCAAGTTTTTACGCTTTGCTGTCCACATGTGCTGGCTTTGATGTGTTTTTTGTTAAAATTTGACTGCACCCAAACCTAGCTGTTAACAGCTTGAAATGGCTGTATTGGTACAAATGATGTTATTTTGGGGCGGGTTACTGCAGGCCAGTGATGGCGTCCACATGCAGCAGATGTTGGAAGTGTTTGGTGAGTCCAGCTGGAGGAAAGCAACAGTTGCTTACGAAATCTCAGAGGAAGTGTTGACTGCAACACTAAGAAAGAATAAAAACTATCTGATCTGACGTCACAGCAGTCCTACACACACACACATTACAGCTAAGCGCCTTGAGGCAACTGTTGTTGGTTCACATTTGCAATAAAGAATTTGATTGGATGACAAACATTACTGTCTATTACAGTTTCTGGCTGACATTTGCATTCACACTCAGATCCTGACAATTGTAGCCAGCTCACAGTGACTGTGGGGAGAAGGGAAACTGAAGTGACCCGTTGTTCTCATTTCCATCTCTATATTTTTATTCTTGCACTCTACTAGAGTAGCTTTGCAGGATTCACGGTTCAAAATAATCCCTGTTTATCCCATACTGGGCCTTTGTTCAGCTCCCCCGGTCAATCTATGTGAAAGGAGCCATTTTTACAGTTTTAAACCGACTTTCTTCTGTTTTGAAAACAGAAGATTTAACTGGCAGGTGGGAGGCTGTGGTTCTCACCGCCATAGCTGTTCACCTGATATGACACAAGTAGCAAAAATGTGTCTAAAATTGAGCATTTACAGCACCCTGAAGCTTTTATTTGAAACTTTGTCCGTGTTTATGAGCGTCCACCAGGCAACGTCTTACAAATCACTCAGTTATGCTTCATATAAAACATGCAGTAACACTTAAAAATAGAATTTGTCCAAGTTCATAACACCATGCCAGGAAGTACAGTCCACTGCAGGGAACTTAAGCAGTGTTGTAACAACAGCAGCAGTAATCAATGACGCTCCGCACAGCGAGCAGTGCTTCAGCCCAGCCCTTATCTGCTGCTGCAGATTTGAGCAGAGCTTCCACATAACACAGAGGATGTTCACACTTGAATATCCATGCACAGACACCCTCTGTGCTCCAGCAGCGTACTCTAACCCCCC